TCCTTCAAAAGGATAAGCAGAGCGCTAGCTTCTAAACACACTCAGAAGCAGCTCAAGGTTTTCATTTGTACATGCACTAGCATAAAGCAATCAAGCAAAAGACGGGGTAATTTGATTCTTCAGGTTATGACCCCTTGTATCTCAGTCACATTTCTGCTTACTCAAACTGGCATGTATTGATCAGTTACAACGCATCATACAGTCAGTGGCATTTGGCATCGATGTCAAACATAGCATGTGTTTTTGTGCCATATTTGAATATATGAGCACAAATGAATTTTGACAGCTTATCTGTTCTTTATCTCTAACCCCATCTCATGTCAAATATTATTGAGGCTTGTAAGAATGTGGATAGACGTTTGTTTATCTCCAAAGGTGGCAGAAGGAACACCGTGAATCTGAACACTCACAGGCTCATTTGCATCTTCCAGCAGCTCTCTGGGGTTTTGTAAAGCTGGCTGGCTGCATCACCTCTTCACAAGCTTCTCCAGATGAGACAGATGATGGCAGTACAAAGAACTATGGCTGCAACACAAGTGGTACCTCATATAATTCAGCAATATAACAGCCATACAACTCTTGAGTCTCTTCTGAGTGCTCCTTCTCACCGAACATCCGGTGATGTGGAGCAAAGTGTGTGAACAGTCCAGCGAACACGACTAGATTAAATACTTCTCACAGCCTTTAGCCTTTGGTCAATGAAATTAAATCTCGGTCCAGAATCCCACAGAGACCTGCTGTAATAACAAGACCCTCAAGTGGGGAGAAGGTCTGTTGAATTATATGGTTATGACAGCCAGGTGAGGTGTTTTTTCTTTTCTTTCTTTTCCTGTGTTGCTTTACATACGTGTCTGGGGAGAAAAAAAAAATAACATCCTTTTAGCATGAGCAGTGAAATCATTGATTTTTGAGGGATGTAGTGGTTTAAAAAAAAAAATTTGGTCAGAGAATGTATGACTTATTTTTTATATAAAACGAACACAGATGTACAAAGAGTGAATGCACTTTCTGCTAAATTGCCATTGGTATTGTTTTTAAATTAGGTTTCCATTTAATTTATGAATTATTAGACCCAGGTTTATATCAGAGACTAAAATGTTAGTAAAATCAGTTTCTTTTAAATGTTTAGATATCATGTGAAATAAAATATTTACTTATATACTTACATATGATAGCGAAATTAAAGGGATAGTTCACCCAAAAATGAAAATTAGCCCATTATTTACTCACCCTCAAGCCATCCTAGGTGTATATGACTTCCTTCTTTCAGACGGGTCCAGTTATATAAAAAATTGTCCTGGCTCTTCCAAGCTTTACAATGGCAGTGGGCGGGTGTTTCTGTTCAACAGTTCAAAAGAAGTCCAATAAAGCGCATCCATCAATAATAAAAAAGTGACTCACATGGCTCCGGGGGGTGAATAAAGACCTCCTGTAGCGAATCGATGCGTTCTTGTAAGAAACATATCCATATCTAAAACATTATAACCACTTTTCTGTAGCTTGCGCTAACTTTTGTACGCGGAATCCATTCTGGGCTGATGATAATATGCTAGTCTCGCGAAAACCAACATTTGTTTACAGGAGCAAAGGAAGCAAAGTTTCCTTACTTTCGCATAGGAAAACCAGTCTCCTCTTGGCTTATATCGAAATCCTCCGACATTTTTCTTTACAAATCCTCGTTTTGTACTTCTAATTTGTGACCGGTGTTTTGTTTTGTTTTGTTCTCTCCTCTCTGCTTCCACGTTCGTCACTTCTCACCGGCGCATGCGTCACACATATGTCCTACGTCATCTGCCCAGAATGAACATGCATATGACAGTTAGCGGAAGCTAGAGATTACGGTTTATAATGTTTTAAATATGGATATTTTACTTACAAAAAAGCATCGATTCGCTACAGGAGGCCTTTGTTCACCCCCCGGAGCTGTGTGGGACACTTTTTTATTACGGATGGATGTGCTTTATAGGACTTCTTTTGGACTGTTGAACAGAAACACCCGCCCACTGCCATTATAACGCTTGGAAGAGCCAGGACAATTTTTAATATAACTCCGAATGGATCCATCTGAAAGAAGAAAGTCATATACACCTAGGATGGCTTGAGGGTGAGTTAATCATGTGCTAATTTTAACATTTTTAGGGTAAACTATCCCTTTAACTTGTCATTATTTTATTGTTATCACTATTACAAAATAAGCACAAAGCATTTTTTTTTTTCATGTATCTGCGATCGATACCTGATGTGATTGACAGGTTGCACATTATTTTGACTTGATGAAAAACCATTAAATCTGCTGGGATCTTTGGATTGACAAGCCATCTTTGAACCCCACAACTGTTGGACTGTATTTGATTTGGGACAAAGTGTAATTTCTTTTCTGAAATATATTTGATGTGGCAATTCAGCAATTCATTTTGATGAATGCAAGAAAACTCAAATCTGGGTGTAATTTTCGCTGCTTGCTATCCATTTGCAAATGTCAGGATCTATCTGTCAAAAAGAAATGTGGGTTATTAGAGCAAATATGAGTATTTTTGTTGGAAACCTCTGACCTTGAGATTAAAATGCCTGGAATCATTGAGAAACAAAGTAAGAAATGTAAAATGCACCCTGCTTCTGTCAGTCAGCATTCAAAAGAGTTCAGATATTTAACTAATGCCATACATCATCTCATAATATAAGGCCAAGCAGTAAGTGGCTATTTGGGTTGATCTGATGCAAATCAGTTAATAATCATTGTTTTAGCCCCTCATTTTCATTCAGTAACATTACAACAAAGGTTTCCTTTAGTTCGTTATGGTGTTAGGAAATCTATGCTGAGTTAGTCAACTGAACCAAGAATAAAAATGCAAATGCTGCTGTGCATTACTACAAGTACTCAGCGAAAACTAGCACATTTCAGGGCCTTTAAAACTCTGTGCTAGGGCTGTTAATTTGACTTGCTAATTTAGTGTGATTAATTAAGTTTAAAAAATAACACAATAAAAAATAAATAAATGCAATTAATAATGTCTCTGACCTGCATGTAAATTCTTGCCTTAGCAGACAACACTCTGAATATTTGTGTTACCAGTCATGAAGATCTTTAAAGTTCATTATGTATTATCATTTCCTCTAGTCAGTAGATAAATGAATCATATGTGACACAGGGTGAGAATATTTGGCGCATAATATTATAATAGTATGCTCTGGTGTGAGGATGAATTGTTAATAAAATGTATTTGAATTATTTTCCTTTAAAGGGATTTCTCAGCAAATATTGAAATATGGTCATTGTATCACATAATTACTCATCCGATTATTTCAAATTAAGTTACAGTCCTTGTAAATATTTATTCATTTTTTTGTGAATATTTTGTAAAGAGTATTTAAGTGGTGAACAATTATAAAAGCAGAGGACTCCAACGAAATGTTATCATAAGGATCGTGACAGTATGGGTGCACCCTTTCCTTTATTTCACAGTACTTCGTCTGAAAGCAGGTAACATAGTTTTAAGAAATACAAAATAACACACATTGTGCTCTTGTTTGTATCTGATGCTCTCTGTTCACAGATTCCCCAACATTTCTAAACTGAATGAGTTACAGGAGTGCTACACTATGCATTATAAAAACATGTAGGTTACTTGCTAGATTACCTATAAACCTGACAGCTGTTGAAATCTACTGAAATGTATTGTCTTTAAAAAAAAATAACAACAGATGAAGACTTTTCAAAAACATCAACACTTAAATAAAAAAGAAAAATACAGTTATAGAGATATTTCCAGAAGTTTAAGGCGGTTGAAAAAAAGAAGAAAAAAAAAGAAAAGAAAAAGGAATTGGACAACCCTGTTACTTCCTGCATTTCTCTAAATAGCTGATATACATCTAGTGAACCAGTGGCAACAGTTCAGCGGGGTAATTTAGTCTTTCTTACTCATGTCTCACCTTTCAGATCAGCAGTGATCATCACAGGGTCCGTGCAGTGGCATTCAACATTTACAAAAGCATTTTTACCCGCCAAACAGTATAAAAGCCTAAAACAATAACCTTAGGTTTATAAACTTTTTTTTTCTGATTGATTAAATATTGTTGACAGATTTGCCAAATGCATGAAACTGAAAAGAAGTATGAATATCAAAACTCAGCATACAGCATGAAAAATGGGGATTATGTGGTTGTAAAAAAACAACAACAAAGAAACTGCAGCTGAAAAGGCTGCTTTATGTATGTGATACATTCATCCATAGGGCTGTTGGCTCGAGATTGGTGGAAACATCTGCAGAAAAATGTGTGATGAGCTGCCACCCAAGCACTTTGGTTCATGATCAGATAACCCCTCACTACTATTAGGCATCGTAAGGTCAAAGCAGAAGTGCATGTTTTGTGGAGCGCTTTACTGGTAAACAAATCAGACATAACTACTAAATGTGTATCAAAATGCTCTACTTTTCCATTTTTAATTTTGTTCCACTTTGACACTGCAATCATGTATGCAGATGTTTCATCTACACCATCCCAACCAAACTGATTCACTTTGTGGTTATGATACACAAATGTAACATCATATCAGCCTTTGTGTAATATTGTGCAGTCTGATCAGTGGCATGGAATAAAAAGAAAATTGGCAAAGCAGGGTAGCGTAAACTGTGGCCTAAAGTAAAATATGCCATTTCATTGAACAGTGCAATGTTTATCCATCAGGACGGTAAACATTCATTTAAGGACAGATAATATCACAGGAGCTATCTCCAAAATCCATGGTCTAAACCTGAATCATACACATTATAGATATGTTATCTCCATTTTTTAACAGCAAATGTTGCAAATATAGAAACAGTATCTGTACATAGTTAATTTGTATTTAGAACAAACTCAAATATTGGGAGAAAAACGGTCCATAAATTACAGTGGTCCTGCAGTAGAAATACTAAGATTTCATAAGTTGTCTGTCACTGTTCTTTTTAGTCTCACAGTACACAAAAGCAAATCCACTGTCACAGGACTTGGCCATGCAGTAATCAAATACTAAAAATCCATTTCAACATATATATATTTTATATTTGCAATATATTCTCCTCTTGTTGCTTTAAGTAACATCTTTACTTTTGGTAAACAATTTTGGTACGCAACCCTTTTGAAATTCACTGTAGTGTAATATTTATCCTTTAGAATGTGATTTCACTAGATTAAGGATTCATTCTGGTCCTGTTCACTGTGGTCCATCAAAAATGAAAAAGACACAGAAAAACACTTGAGTAGATTAAGATTTTTGTTGGGCTGACACTCCCTTCCAGTAATCTAGAATGTCATGCAGATCTTCATCCTTAGCAAACTGCACTTTTTTCCTCAGAGCGTGGCCTGCAGCCATGTACTCCTCATTTTTGTGTCGCTTGCGATGGAGTTTAAAGCGCTCCCAGATGCTGTGCGATGGTTTGCAGTAGTACTCGGGACTAGACGAGTAACTGAGATTGTGGTATTGGGGAGAGAGCTGCGAGTAAGCCAAGTCTCTGGCATGAGGCCGTGTCAGGGGCTCCAACATTGAGGTTTTCCGACTATCTGGTTCTTCCAACTCTTCAATTTGGTGGGCATCGGGGTAGGAGTGCCGATGCTCACTATACTGACGGATCTTCTCCGCCTCTGCCCTTAGTATCGCAGCTGCGGGTGTGATGGTCAGAATAGTCTCCCCTGTGGGTGAAGTCTTCTCTATGTACTTCGACTCTGACTTGTAGGGCCCCTCTGAGCGGTAAGGCCTTGGACTCCGCATTGGACCACCAGTGGCTGTACTCGGACGCTTCGGAGAAGCATCTGATGCGTGATGTCTTTGTAAAGAGTGGTGGTAGCTGTCCTTGTAGACAGGTGACAAGAAGCCAGACTTGCTCTGAGGCTGCTCTGAGATCAGTATCAATTGTGGTTCAGCTGTTGACACAGCACCAGATTTCCCACCTTGGAAGGAGGTGGACTCTGATTTCAGAGCATCTATGCAATTGTTAATAATCTGGTTGACCTTGTCTACCTCCTTTGCGATTGTCGAGATCTCAGCAACTGAGCCTTGGCTGTTGCCAGGCATAGACATCTCACATTCCCTTCGATCTGGGTGCTCCCCTGTTCTCACTTCCATATAATTTCCTTTGGCCATTTTCGGAGTGTCGCTGATGTCTTGCAGTTTGTATTGCTCCATTTCACTGCCGGAAGGTAGATACGGCATGCGGGTCATGCTCTCCCCAGCCATCATTTGCTTTTGAGACATCCTGGATATCGTCCCGCCCTCTAGCTCACCGCCGTATTTAAGCTCAATTATGTTCTTCTTTAAGCTTCCTGCCTTTTTGTGCTTTTCATCTTGTTGTCTCTTTTTTCGCAAACAATAGTACACTATCCCTAAAACAATAACCATACTGAAAAGACATCCCAAGATAGTCATTATGTAGTGAGTGGCTGTTGCATTACTAACTACTCGCTCTTTTCCATTCCTAGGCCCAGTGGATAGTGTCAGACAAGTATGATTGAAACGCAACGAGTTTCTTATGGAAGCCACACAGTAGGTGTAATCGGTGTGGGGTTTCAAGTTTTTCAGTTCAATGTCCTCCTTCTGCCGCTTCAGATTCTGTATATCAGTGAAGAAGCTGTTATTGTACAGGACAAGGATGTACATCTTCTTGTAGGGGTAAGGGATCTGAACAGTGATTACTGCATTTGTGTGAGACACTTGCTTGAGTTTCATGATTGGTTTCACATCTAAGTCTATGTACGTGGGACTGATGCTGATTTCCTCTGGCTCAGTCCCCGAGGGACAGTCTTCCAGCCCACACGGTGTAGAGTCTGGAGGGTAAGTGGTGGTCTCGGTAGGCACAGGGATGTACGTAGTCACGTAGTCCTCCGTGCACACAGTGGACAGCATATGCAGAGCATTCCGGTAAGTGGGATTGTTTGGATTCTGGCTTAGGAGACTGTAGCCCGAGATTCCTGTAGGAGAATCACACACCATCCGTTCACTTGTCCTGTTGGGAAAGACCGAGAGCCACTTTACAAACCCCAAGAGCTCACAGGAGCAGTTGAAAGGGTTGGTGTAGAGTTCACAGGTGGTCAGCTTTGTCAGGCTGGTAAAGGTGGACCCATCCAGCACCTGGATGCGATTCATGGAAAGGTCAATGTTTTCTATGTTTGGGCACTCCCAGAAGGCATTGGGTGTCACAGTCTCAATCAGGTTTGCCTGGAGGTAGAGGTACTGCAGCTTTCCCAAACCCCTGAGAATCCCTTCGGTTAAGTTACGCAACTTATTGAAACCCAACTGGAGAACCTGCAAGTTGAACTGGGCTGAAAAAGCCCCATCCTCAATGTAATTAATCTCATTCTTGGTTAGATTCAGGTATGTGAGGTTGGTAAAGCGGCTAAGGGCAGAGTAGTGGATGCTCTTGATCTTGTTCTCATTCAATCGAAGGTCCACTATGGTGCTGTTGATATGCTGAGGGATGGCCTCATATGGTGGCTGGTTTTGGCTGCAAATGGCCAGCCATACAAAACCCTTTTCACCTTCTATGAGCCAGCAATCCCCCCTCACTCCACTTATGTGAGTCAGATAGATTATGGCCAAAGACCAGAAGAAGGCACTCTTCACCATGCCTCCATTACTAGCTCCTGATGCCCTCCTGGAAGCCATGAGCAATACCAGTTGGTAGAAGCTTGGGGTACCACTTGAGTTTGAACTAGGCTGGATGGAGCCTCACAGTATTTAAGCAGGGTAATAAACCCTTTCCCTTTAGCCAAGGGACAAAAATGTCCAGTCTCTGGTCCAGAGAATTATTTCACATGAGTTGGGGGTTTCTGCACTGATATGTCAGCCCCTTATTAAACCCTCTGACCATAGCTTATACATTTAAAGTAAAGTCTCTAATGGAGAGGTTTTCACACCAGTGGAGTGCTAGAGCTGGGTCTTAGTGTTTCACCAATTCAGAATGGCCTGTGCTTATTTCCCCAGGGTAGAGCATTGTTGATGGCTTTCATCCTCTTGTCTTTTCTTCTCTTCCACCATTTTAGTCTCATTTATAGGCCCAGAGGTACACCCTGGATAAGAAAAGAGAAAAAGAAAGCATTGACTGACGCTCACAAAGTCTTTAAATTAGAAAACCAATATTCAAAATACAGTTCAACATGTGGCAGCAGTGATGACATGTTTCATACCATACAAGAGGTCTGCTATGTGTGCAAGCTCAAAGGAATAATTCATACATTTCATTGTATTTATTTCCCTGACGTCTTACTCATATGTCTATGGACCTGTGGAAGGTAAAATAATAACTTTGTTAGCTGACCATCAATTTATTTTGCACACAATTTCCCTTCCCTTCAGTTCCTGTGACATATTGCTATTATCAGAAACCACTGGCCAATTTCCTCCTGACAGATAAAAGAAAGCAAAAGTGTCCCTGTTCTCCCTCCATTAATTCTGAGACCATCAAAATGAGCAGAACCAATACTTGGGGGATGAAACAGATCAATTACACTTCGTCCTTTAAAATGTTCCAGTGAAAACAACCAGTTGCTCTTGAGACCAGTTTATCAAATTCAAATGCATATTGCATAGTTTCAAAGAATTGCACCTAATCTTATATACTTGATTTATAGGATATACTCAATTTGAGAAAAAAACAAAAACCTGATCAATTACTAAACACAAAACAATTTCATCATAAATGCTACTACGGGTGAGAGAAATTCTACATTTCACAAGCTGTTTTGCCTCCGAAGTCTTATGCAACTTTTTTCTTGATACTCATTTATTTTTAAATGAAATACTCAGTTACGAAGCAGAAGGAAATCACATGGGAATAGTATTTCTTTGAAAGACACTGCCCTCACAGAGAGAAGGTACATTCCCTGGGGTGGCAGAGACAAGAGGGAGCTTCAGTTCACAGTCATCCCTGGCAGGCTTTGAAACCACATTGAGACAGCTCTAAGCAATGTTGGCTGTATCGCAAATCATTTGTGAGTTAAGAGAGGATGGGAACTGGTTTGAAAGCAAAGACATTTCTTTCCACTGCACCCCTTCTTCTAACCATGGACATAAAGGCAATTGCTGTGTGTGTGTGTGTGTGTGTGTGTGTATGTGTGCATGTGCATTTGCATTGTGCAATAACCTGAGTGCTATGAATTATTCTTATTTCATTTTACTACTACAGTAAAGGAACAATATATTGTCCATTAACTAAAGACCGCTTTGTCCTCTATTGGTATCACTGCAATGTCAAGTAATGCACATGTTACCTACATTATCCATCTAATATGAATAAAACTATGCTATATTACATCCATAGACTGTGTTAGAAAAGAACACAACAATGGCAGCACAAAATGAAAGTCATTATTGCACCGTGTCTCCTTGAAGCTGGTGAAAGCTCCTAAAAGCCTCTTCACTAGATGGAGGAATTATGAGTAAAGACTTGCACAATATTGAACTCTTTACAGAGATTTCCACTGCACTAAAAACTCATTCTAATTGCCCTGTCTGATTGGCCCACTGTAAGCCGTAACTTCAGCAGCTACTTGCCCAGTGAAAGCCACGATGACTGGCGGAGAGGGAGCACGGATTTTACACAAGTGAATTATGCAAGGAGGGCTTTAACTGAAGAGGAAAGAAGTGCATAGTGAAGAAGTGCATCTCAAGTGCATAGATGGACATGGTTCATAAAACTCTCTATGGAAGGCAGTGGATCAAAGATGGGATTTTACTGCGCTTTGCCTGGGTTTCTCCCAAGTGCTGCATTAGATTGTCTATGTGTAAGATCACACTATGGTGTACAGCACAAATGACATGTCATGCATCTTATTAAACATATTTAAATCATTGTCACTCAACTGAATTTTAAGCATTTAGAGGAATCCAAAAGTCTGAGTAAACAATGGAAATCTGGGATTTAAAATCTCATTTAAACATGTAAATAAATCGTTTTAGGAAACAAAAGTTGATGTTAAAGAAAAATGACAGAAAGAAGAAGAAATATTTCTGTGTCAGTAATCAACATCGTAACACTGACCATGTGACTCTTTGTACTGATTGTCAGATGTTCTTCCATTGAAGCTCAAGATGCTCTTTGGATCATCTCAAATCATGCTGGAAAACACGACCATTAGATTTTACACATTTTACACAAGTTCATGCAGCTTGATTGCTGCTGTCATTAAAGCAAAATGATGAGATGCCAAATCAGAAAGTCTTACTTTTTCAATTAGATTTTCACTGAAATTGTTATGCTGATAATATAATATGTAATTATTATTGTTTTTATTTATTGACATTTCTTAGCTCATTTATAGAAAGCAAAATAAAAGCATTTTCATTCATGGTCTCAGACTTTTATAGAACTCTGAATCAGAGTACTTAAGTAGATTTTTCTGGTATCAGTTTTTACACCAATATCTGTACTTTCTACTTCTTACATTTTCAAACCAGGCTCATTACTTTGGTTCATTGCGCACCTTTTTCAACCTTATGTAATACAGAAAACACAGCCCCTCCATTGGCCTATTATTTCCTGGCTATCACGACCACACATGTAGGCTGTCTACGAAGCTACCATGGAGCAAGGCAGAAGGGAGCAAGGAGAATGGCTAATGTTATGGATGAGACAGAGAGAGTTAGCGATGTCGACATGACTGAGAAATTATAGACATTCCCAGGGCTGTACAGTGTGACACATTGCACATGTTATGAAAAAATCGGTCTGAGCGATGAATAAATTTACCACAGGAGCACGTGTGCGATGAAATTTTGCAGTGTGGGTGAGCCTGTTTACAAACCTGTTGTCAAACAAAAAGAAAATTTCATGACATGTATTTAGTCCAAATTCACTTAACATGTGGAAGAAATTTTATTAATATGCTGTTTGCATTTTCTGTATTGCTTAAAGTCACATGCTTCTTTGCTGATTTAACAGAAAAAAGAACAGCTATTGATCTTTAAGATGTGTGTGATCGTAAAAGAGCACACATAATCCTTATTCTAATATGGAATTGTAATGGAATGGTAAAAGGGTGTTGGTACGTGACAGGAGGGCCTCCACCCAAGGATAGAATATGATAAGTAAGTCTAAGAATGTGGTTGAAAATACCATCATTGGCCTAGAGAGATAACATTCTGAGAGATGAGACTATAAGAGAGGAAGGATGCCCTCCCTTCACTGTCCCACTCTGCAGCCACTCTGAGTGACTGAATGACTGCTGGCCTTTTCTTGCAAGAAAATAAAACTCATCAAAGACAATTGGTATATTTGTCTCTTATTCAGAATTGTTTTTTTTTATGTGCCACAACAAACATCAGCTAAGTGTTTGAAGTAACTTCCTTTTGTGATCTGACTTGGTTTCATTTCAAATAATGATGCAGAAATCATACTATAATAGTATTCTATTCAGTGATAGAAGTCGATTAACACTGCATTACATTACATTATTACATTACATTACTTTATTCTTATAAAAATACCCGAGATGGCTTGAAGAACACAGATAAACCATATATTGTCGCAATTGTATGTTTATTGTATTGATGTTTTATCAGGTAAAACATCTCTATCTGCATTTTTTTTTTATTCAAAGAACACAAAATATACATTTTATACAATTGCAAGTATTACACATTATGCATACTATACAAGAATGAAAAGAAGGAGAAAAAAAAGCTCCCAGGGAAAAAAAATTATATAAATATCTAAATAAAGGTGCATTGAAGTACAAAGATATTAAATACAATTTAAAATTTAATTTAATTAAAAATATTAATTTTAAAACTGAAAATAAAATTTACAGTATAAGTCACATAAATTTAGCCATTTTTAAAGCAGCATAATTTTGAGTTGTTTCCAAGGACAAGAGGCAGAATCACCCTACAATCTAGGATGTGGTCTAGGTCAGTGTTTCCCAACCGGAGTGCTGTCTGTCGAGAGCAGGGGTGGCGTGTAAAAAATCCTTTTTTAATATTTTTTCTAACATTTTTAAAAAAGCAGCTATTATATAATATCCATGTCTGATGTCGCCAATAATTAAAGATACACTGAAATTCCGGTAGTTAGAAATTCAAATATTGTGACAAAATTAATTTTGTAGGGTGCCACAAATTTGTTAAAATTTCCAAAGGGTGCCGCGACTAAAAAAAGGTTGGGAAACACTGGTCTAGGTGATGGCAAATGTATTTATTTATTTTGTCAGCTTAGTCTTTTCTCTGCTTGTGTGCTACATGGTGGTTGTTCAGCCTGGATACCTTCATTAGCTAACAAAATTTGAATTGTGAGTTATTTTCACAATTTATGTATTTTCACAATAATGTATTAATATGACATGCGCTCCAGTTACCAGCGTGACACTAAAACAGGTAGTAGTAATGGCTACTTTTTACTTAAGTACATGTCAGAGCCCATACTTTTTACTTTAACTTGAGTAAAAAAAGTGTAGTCAGTATTTCAACTTTTACCAGAGTCTTTTTAAACATGAGTATCTGTACTTCTACTTGAGTGAAGGATGTGTGTAGTTTTGTCATCTCTGCTCTGAATCCATGACAAACACAACATAAATCATATTTTATATACCATATACCATATGTTGTTGTTTTTGTTCAGAGGAGTTGATAATATCATCACAGCGGCTAGTGACTGACATGCAAGAGTTGGACAAGGAAACCGGCAATGTGGTTATTTATAGAAATATGTGTGTACACATGACAAGTATACCCACATTTTCCCCTTGACACTTGTAAGATTCTCTGTGTCTGAGACTGAAAAATTACATTTGTGACAAACTATGAAACATCGAAGTGATTTGTTTTTATAGATATTGCTAGTTTCATCAGACTAAGACAATTGTCATAATCTGCATGTACAAATAAAAATGAGGAAAACACGTAACATTCAAACTTTAATTTACTTGTACATAAACTCCATAATAATATTTGTTATGCCATTGTAGCAATTTAAATGCAGATCTTGTCAGTCAAATGAAAAATGTATTTGTTATGGACTAATTTTCAACGACATGCAAATACAACAAATAATATATTGACTTCTAAAGCCACTGTT